TATAATTAATTGATTAAGTATTATATTTTATTCAATTAAAGAAAAATGAAATTCAAATAAATTTCATGTAATTATTTAAATATGAATTACCTTTGATCTTCAATATGTGATTTCATGCAAGTAACATTACTACCATTCACTTGCCTTTCCTGTGGAGTTCCAACGTCGACCAAAACTCTAATAGCATCTAAATTTTTAATAAAAGTATTTTAAATAAAAATAAATCACATATTCATTTAATAAAATTATATTAAAATTAAAAAAATACTACAAACACATTTCTTCTCTTTCTTGAGAAGCTTCTCATAATCAATGAGTTCAAATACAAATCTCAAAATCTCTGCGACTTCTTCTATTACTTCTTTGACAATGGTATCAAGATGAAATTGAATCTTGTAGTTGTTATAAGAGACAACACAATAAGTGTCCTTATTTTTTTTCCACAAAAATTTTTTTCAAGTAATAAACATTCCTTTCAATCAACTTATTCTTAAATCATAGAGTATTAGAACTTCAAATGATAGCATGAATAAATTTTTTTTGCAAATAAATAATTATTGTTAATAAAAATCGTTAAATACATAAAAGACTAAATGTAATATTTATAAAATTACCCTCTCATTGGCTAAAACCATTTCAGTGTTGAGATGGTCCCTATCATGTTTTAAATTAAAAACATCTCACAATCTACGTATTCACACTTTAATCTTCCAATTTGATTTATCGGGTGAAAGTTGATCAAGAAATACATATTCCAAATCTCTTGCAATTGATTTACCTCTACATAACAAAATATTTTAAAATTAGAGAAAAAATGTAACATAATTAGAGAGAAAAGAAATTGATGCTTAAAATCAAATACCTATTCATATTGAGAAAATGTAATCCAAGCAATTATACCCTGTAATCAAAATTTGGATTTAGGAAAATGACACATTGAGTACTTATTCATTGTGAAAATGAAGTTTTTAAGGGTTTTTTGGAAATCAATTTTAACCATTATTATTATTGTCAATGACTTAAATAGTTTAGTAGTAATTTTTTTTTACTAGAAATAAAAGATTCTGAGTTGAATCGTATGTCATATAGGGGTAGGTTGACACTCCTCTTTTTTATATCTATATGATATTTATATATATAACTCAGGGGCCTATATACATATACAAAGAGGAGTTCATTCAAAAAAATAAATAAATAAATAAAACATACAATTTGTTTTAGTTTAATTACAATATGAGTAAAGTTTAGAGATCTTCATAATTTAAAATCTCAAAAATAGTTTTTACATAACAGTGAAAAAACTTTCTCATAAACATAGAGACTTTAAATAGTAAACATTTGATCCTTCGAGTTTTAACTTCCATTAGTTTTTTCCTTCTTCATGTAAAGAAAGCAATAAATTTATTAATAAAAAATAATACTATGACAATTATAAACATCTAATCATGAATGGTATATTATAAAATTTATTTACCTTGGTAACTGAAAATAATTTAAATGAATGGTATATTAATTGTTCATTATTAATATTAATATTGAAAAGATTGGTTTATTTTTAGGTAGATAAAGAGGCAAGATCTTTTTTTTTTTTTTTTCAGCATATTAATTAATAATATAAGACCATTCATCTTTTGGTAGATGAAGAAGGAAAAAACTAATGGAAGTTAGAACTTTAAGGATCAAGTAACTTACATATTAATTAGTAATATTTAAATTGTTAAAATGATTAGTTGTTTTTATGGATTTAATTTCAAGATCTTGGCTATAAATGCCAATGGGAATAGGGCAATTATAAATGTCCAAACATGAATGGTATATTATAAAATTTATTTGCCTTAGTAACTGAAAATAATTTAAATAAATGATATATTAATTGCTCATTATTTATATTAATATTGAAAATATTGGTTTATTCTTAAGTAGATGAAGAGGCAAGATCATTTTTTTTTTCAACATATTAATTAGTAATATTTAAGATCATTCATCTTTTGGTAGATGAAAGAAGAAAAAAAACTAATGGAAGTTATAATTTCAAGGGTCAAGTAACTTATGTATTAATTAATAATATTTAAATTTCTAAAATGATTCGTTATTTTCATGGATTTAATTTCAAGCTCTTGGCTATAAATGCCAATGGGAACAGGGTGGGGCTAGTGTGGTGGGGTAAATATAAAATATTTACCCTATTTAATGCATAGGGTAGCATTTTATATATATACATACATTATTATTATCAATTATATTATGTATTATCTATATATATATAGAAGTGTATTAGTTATTATGCTCATCCATACTATTAATTAATTAAATTTAATTATGTAATAACTGATGGGAAAGAAGAATTTGGATTGGGTTGGGCATATATATATAATGCTTATCCTATTTAATGCATAGGGTAGTACTTTAATTTATTGATGCACTAAATATTTTAAATAGTATTAAGATTTGAATTAATGTAATAATATATAAATTATTGTGAATTTTTCTTATTAGTGGATGCTTCACCTTCACATTCATCTTTACATATTGCAACTCCTCACAATTAAGGGTTCATTCCTTCCATTAAAGGGTCATTCTTAACCACCTACTAAAGGCCATTCAAATGGCTATTCAATAGGCCATTCAAAGGGGCCATTAAGGTGCCATTCAAGAGTCCATTAAGGTGCCATTCATACTCTCATTTAGTACTATTCAATGGCAAATGTAACCTCCTATGTCCCTTAGCCTATATATAGGCCTACAAATTTGTATGTTGGTTGATGGAAGAATACTTGATGAAATAAGAAACTCTCTCCTTTCATTTGTCATCTTGCCATTTTTCTTCTTATTTTATAGTA